AGTGGCTGCAGTGTGGGGTGCTGGTCATGGGGCAGGCCAGGGGCCACTTTTCCCGCACTCAGCACCAGCTTGTAACCCACCCCCACAGCCAGCCTGGGCCCCGCGCCAGCTCTGGGCTCACCTCTCAGGGCTGCGCACAGCAATAGCAGCTGTGGCCCACTCACTTCCTGCACTGGGCAGTGTTTGCCACCGCCACCTCTGGGCTCCCCAGTGCACGAGTTCCGGGTGGGCAGCAGCAGCAAACACTGCCTGGTGCAGCAAGTGGGGTGGGCACAGCTGTGTGCAGCCCTGATGGGCGAGCCCAGAGCTGGCATGGGGCCGAGGCTGGCAGAGGGGGAGGGTTACAAGCTGGTGCTGAGCGCGGGGGAAAAGCAGCCCCTCCCCACCCTGTGCCCGGCACCCTGCACTGCAGCCACTTGCAGGCCACGTGGGGCTGCCTGTGCCTGCTCAGGACAGCCCCGTGCGGGCTACGAGCAGCTGCAGCAGAGAGCACCAGCCATGGTGTGGGCAAGGGGCCGCTTTTCCCCGGACTCCTACCCTGTCCGCCCCCCCGTCACCCTACCTGAGGTTCTGGCACTGGGCTGTCATGTGGTCCCAGTCATGTGGTCCCAGGATGGGGGCGCGGGGTCAGGCGGGCCCTGCTGTGCGGGAGCCCGCCGGGCTTCCCCTGGGTCCTACTGTGCCTGGTTCCTGTCATTTTTGACAGGAACCAAAGACAGAGAAATATTAATTTTCTAAATGTTTCAGGGGCCCAGTGGGCCAGGTAGAATGGCCTCACAGGCCAGATCCGGCCAATGGGCCATATTTTGCCCACCCCTGTACTACATCCATTCAGGTCTATCTTAGACCAGGTTCTACCATTTGAAATTGGTCTATGGGCTCATCTATACATTGCTCTATAATGACATTGTTACTGCGCCATGTGTTAGTGCTTCGGGAAGCATGGTGCAGTAACTGTCCACACTGCACCACGTGCACAACACATGGTTAGTTTTCGCTGCCACTTCACTGTAGCAACATGCTAAAATGGGGGATCAAGCCACTACAGCGAAGTAACTGCCAATCATATGTAGACTCACATGATCGCTACGCTGACACAGTGTGTTGTACAGTGACATAGCACATTGCTATGGTGATACAGGGTGACATGAAGATACGCCCTATGTGCGCTAAACTTCTGTTACAGGTTTCAGAACAGTTTCCAATCACTTATACACTAAATACAGAAATTACACATTAGTCCAGGCCCTTTCCAAATTACACATACGTGTAATTTCTGTACCTATCCACTATGTGAGTTCCAGACTATAGTTCCTCTCATGGACATGGCTGCTTCTCATGCCATTTTATCACTGAGTCCCTTCTCTTGGTGCCATGGACTAATCTCTCTATTGGTAGTTTTCAGTAATCTAAACACAATCAACATCTGTGGTGTTTAGTTCAGGGACAAATGTTGCTTGTTAGGTAAGTTTCTCATAGAAGGCATTAAAAAAGATTAGCGATGTTATATGGTATAAGGCAGTAGTTTCTCAAGTTTTTAGACTCAAGGCCTCCCTCACAAAATGCCAGCTCTTAGCTTTCACTTGTTTTTTGAGTACAAAAATCTACTGGAGCAATTCTTTTATTGCAAAGAACTCAGACAGCACACCACAGAGCAGAATAGTTTTGCTATTTGAAATCTCTGGGTTTATCTTACAAATCATGTGTAGGTGCTTGCACACCTAACAGTGCTAATATTATGCAACACCCTGTGGCACCCTTAACAGGACTGCATGGCACCTAAGGATGCCACAGCACCCTGGTTGAGAATCACTGATTGAGACCATGTACCATGAATCCCCCGTTATGAAGAATAGCCCCTCTTGGGCACAAACTTTTCCAGAAGGGTTTCAATCACTTCCTGTTTGCACAGCTAGGGTTCTGCACCCATGGAGGCAACAGGAAAGTTGGTCACTCCTCTCCATATGGTTCTGAGCTGCAACATCCTGGGCATGTCTACACATTTATTAGACATGGATGTCAAAACTTTGACAATGTGACAAAATTATGGTGCTTTATGTTTAGTACCTGTAATGACAGGTACTAACTTGAAGTGCTGTAATTGTTGCTACTGTGCATTGGTGCAAATGAATGGCCTTTTTGTAATGCTAATGCACAGTAGACTAAATCTACTGTGCATTAGCGCGGGTTTTGCCTGCCACACTAATGCTCAGTAGAATTAGTCTAATGCACTCAAAGCATCTGGTGTAGACGTACCCCCTGAGTATTAGCTTCAGTCTGCACTGCATAGGTCTTGAAAAAAGTAGCCCCATCATTGTTTGGTTTCTGATCATTTTTATTTGCTCTAATTAATGATTAATAGAGGACATTCATCTTAATACTGTTTGGTAGTAATTAGTAGAGCAAGGAGCAGGCCTGTTCGAATGGACACTGCAGGATATTTTTCAATGCACTGTAAGTACTATCTTCATTTTAACAAGGACACATTTTTTTTCTGATTCTTTGTTATATTTCAGTTTATGGTATTATACTATTTTTGTGTGCATGTGTGAATTTGTCAGAGGGATAGAAAACAGAGCTAAGGGGCCAGAAAAAATTGCCATTCTAGTGGGAGAGCTATTTGAATAACATGACAATAAAATACACTTGAAAGCCATAGAGATCCTTTAAATTCATGTCTGAAGAGAGGCTGTTACCAAGGTAACCCACTAGGGTCTATTCCATTTCTAGTTACCTTTCAAACAATTGTAGAAAAAAGTCCTACACACAAATTATGAATTGCATGCAACACTGTACTCTATATTTATAATATTTTTAAAACATTGTTTGGTAAACCGTGAGAGGTGAAAAGGGCCACAAAAGCAATCTTGAAATGTGGATTATAAAAGCAAGCATTGTCTGTCATCCAATTTTTGCCTGGCAAAAGATATGCTGAAAGTTTTCAGTCTGTTGCAGACATAAAACAATCTATTTCTTAAATCCATTTAAGCACTATAATATAACCTAAGCTATCACTTTTGAATGAATGTGATCACATAAAAAATTTATTATGAAGCATATATTCCTTCTGAGAGTTACTAGGATCACAAAGATGAATCTCAGCAATGAGATTTTAGAAAAGTATACACATTTTAATAAGAGAATTAAATTTTGTTTCAAATTCTCTGCTTTGCCATGTTTAGTTGGGAATCACATTCAGGTTCTCTGTGCCAAAATAATGGGGTGTAGGTGGACAGGTGTGTCTTCATGTGTTCTGGGCCTTTTGTCTGAAATGTGATATTGATGGGATAAATTCACCCAGTGTAGGTTCAGTGTATTCCATCATATGCATTAATCACTGAAAAATAAGCAACAGAACTCATGGTACAAAGGGAAAAAAGAGAAATAATTTAGATTGACTAATTTCTCTGTATCTAAATCTTTTGCAGAATAAATCCAAAGGGAGATGAAGTCCACCCTCTCTGTGTGTTTTTTACTGGCTGGGGTTCAAATTTTGGTCCATGGCCATCGTCCTCACTGTCACAGTAATGAGTATGATCATATATATCCCACAGAACCTGATTCCCAGGTTGAAGAAGCTTATCCATGTAAAAGCAAAGCCTATTTCAAACTAGCCCCAAGTAATGCTGACTTTGCTTTCAGATTTTACCAGTTGGTTGTATCAGAGGAATCTGACAAAAATGTTTTCTTCTCACCCATAAGCATTTCCATTTCCTTTGCAATGCTGGCACTTGGTGCTAAATCAGCCACTCTGAATCAGATTCTGGAAGGGCTGGCCTTTAACATGGAAAAGACTCAGGAGAAGGAAGTACATGAAGGTTTTTGCCATCTCATCTGTGTACTGAACCACACAGACTGCGAGAACCAATTGAATATGGGCAATGCCCTTTTCATAGAAGAAACCCTGAGACCACTACAGACCTTTCTGGAGGATGTCAAAAACTTTTATGACTCTGAAGTTTTATACACTGACTTCCAAAATTCTACTGCTGCGGAAAAGCTGATCAATGATTACATTGGGACGAAAACCTATGGCAAAATTACTGATTTAGTCCAGGACCTTGATCCACAAACTGTGATGGTTCTTGTTAACTATGTTTTCTTTAAAGGTAAGGAATGTTGTAACATGGATCTTTATTGCATGCATTAGTTTGAGATAGCTGACTGGAATCTAGGACACAGGCTGTGTAATGCAGATGTTAAATGAAGGGACATTGTCAACATTGTCCCTTATCAATCTGTTAGACACTTTGTTTGGAAAATACTCCAGTATAGAAAGTCTTTCTATAAATTCCAAGTGTGTCTGTTTACATGTGTGTACCCATGTCCACACGTGTGTTTCCCCCATTTACTAATGGAAGAAACACCACTGTTTCTTAAATACCCTATTTTTTTCTTATAATATGGTTTAATCTGATGTATGCAAACAGACTCAGGTTGGAGTAGATACAAATGCTCCTGCCTGTTAGTGGAGAACAGCATTGAAATAAAATCTCAAGATGCTGAAACTTTAATAAAAAAGACAATGAATTGAGATGCTTAAATACTGCTAACTGAAGTAAGGCTACATGGTCAGATGCTTTTGTATTAGTCCACTTCAACTGGTCTTATTCATAATAATAACTCCCCTTTGCAGTATAATTAGTTACATTCTTTTTCTTTTTTGTCCAAAGCCCATTGGGAAAAACCCTTCGATACTTTTAATACTGGAGAAGAGGATTTTTTTGTGGATGAGAAAACAACTGTAAGAGTCAACATGATGTACCGGCAGGGCATTTATAAAAATCACTTTGATAAGGAGCTTTCTTGCTGGTTGGTGCAAGTACCTTGCAGTGGAAATACTGCAGCCTTGTTTGTTCTGCCTGATGAAGGAAAAATGAAGGAAGTAGAAGATGCTCTGTTGCAAAAAACTGCCTCTAAATGGGAAAATTCCCTCAGAAACAGGTAATCCCTTGGCTTCTGATATGGTGAGAAGTGCCTTACTAGGGACTGAATAGAATTCATCTGAAGACAAAATATTTAGAGCCCAATGGGAAAGGGGCAAGAGGAGGGTAGTCAGAAATGGAATGTCAGAATTAAACTCTGCAGGTCCAGGCTAAATTTCTGTCTCAACCATGGCCAAATCAATTAACTGCACGCATTACCCATCTGTAACATGAAGAAAATCCATCCTTTCAAAGGTGTTCTGAAGGTAAAAGGCAGTTAAGTCAAGGGACAGGGTCATCATGGGTGACCTAAACTATCCGGACATCTGCTGAGAAGAGCAGTCAGCCAGGTCTGACTGCTCACGTAGGTTCCTAGCCGAGTTACAATGTCTTCATCTAACCCAGGAGGTGCACAGTCCCACCAGGGGAAATGCCTTGTTGAACCTAGTCCTAGCCACGGGCGATGACCTGGTGAGGGGACTGCGGGTTCTCAACCACCTGGGTGATAGCAATCATCGCCTCCTGGTATTCACCATCTAGTGCAAAGGCCTGCAGCAAGGCAACCGCCCTAGACTTCAGGAGGGTGGATTTCAATGAGGTAAGGAGACTAGTTGGGGAGGCACTGAGGGAGGGGAGTTGGGAGTCCAGGAAGAGTGGTCGTTCCTTAAGGAGACAATCCTCCAAGCCCAAAGGGTGACAATCCCAATGTGTATCAAAGGGGGCAAGAGTGCTCAAAAGCCCCCATGGCTCATCAAAAGCCTCCAGGAATGTCTCAAAGCTAAAAAGGAGGCGTACACTCAATGGAAGGAAGGGGCCATTACCAAGAAGGATTATACCTCCATTGTTCAGGATTGTAGGGGGGCTGTTAGGAAGGCTAAGGCAGAGATGGAACTGGGACTAGCGACCCGGATCAAGGATAACAAGAAGTCCTTTTTTAAATACATAGGGGGCAAAAAGAAGGTACCAGGTAATGTAGGGCCTCTGAAGGATGTGCTAGGAAATCTGGTGGTCACACCAGATGACAAAGCTAACCTCTTTAACAATTTCTTTGCCTCCATCTTTTTGAGCAGGAACTGGGGCATCCCCCTACTGGGATCCCCGTCGGACCCAGGGGAGACGCTGCCAGGCCCAGGGGTAGAGAGGACCTAGTCAGGAAATTTCTGGTGGCACTGGACGTGTTCAAATCAGCAGGTCCTGACGATCTCCACCCAGAGTGCTGAGGGAATTAGCAGAGGTCATTGCTGGACCCCTAGCACAGCTTTACAAACACTCGTGGTGCTCTGGCAAGGTGCTGGAGGACTGGAAAAGGGCCAATGTGGTCCCCATTTTCAAAAAAGGGAGGAAGGAGGACCCAGGAAACTACAGACCCATTACTCTTACCTTTGTCCTGGGGAAGCTCTTTGAGAAAATTATCCAGGAACACATCTACGAGGGACCAGCAGGGGAGATCATGCTTAGGGGCAACCAACATGGGTTCATTCAAGGCAGGTCCTGTCAGACCAACCTGGTGGCCTTCTACGACCAGGTCACAAAATTCTTGGACACAGGTGTCGCAGTGGACATAGTCTTTCTGGACTTTAGGAAGGCCTTCAACACTGTTTCTCACCCCATTCTCCCTAATAAAATTAGGTGACTGTGGTGTCGATGCCTACACAGTCAGATGGGTCACAAATTGGCTGGAGAGCCGCACCCAGGGAGTGGTGGTGGATGGGTATTTTTCGACCTGGAGGGATGTGGCCAGTGGGGTCCCACAGGGCTCAAGGGCTCAGTCCTCGGGCCCGCACTGTTCAACATCTTCATTAGCGACTTGGATGAGGGGGTGAAAAGCACCTTGTTCAAATTCGCAGATGACACTAAGATGTGGGGAGAAGTGGGCACGCTGGAGGAGAGGGACAGGCTGTAACTAGATCTGGACAGGTTACAGGGGTGGGCAGATGAGAATAGGATGGGCTTCAATACTGACAAGTGCAAGGTATTGCACCTGGGGAGGAAGAACCAGCAGCATACCTACAGGCTGGGGAACTCCTTTCTAGTCAGCACAGAGGCAGAAAAGGATCTTGATGTCATTATTGATTCCAGAATGAACATGGGCTACCAATGTGAGGACGCGATCAGGAAGGCTAATCGCACCTTGTCATGCATCCACAGATGCATCACAAGCAGGTCCAAGGAGGTGATCCTCCCCCTCTATGCGACACTGGTCAGGCTGCAGTTGGAGTACTGTGTCCAGTTCTGGATGCCGCACTTCAGGAGGGATGTGGACAGCGTTGAGAGGGTCCAGAGGAGGGCCACCCGCATGATCAGGGGGCAGCAAGGCAGGCTCTATGAGCAGAGGCTACAGGGCCTGAACCTCTTCAGCCTCCACAAAAGAAGGCTAAGAGGGGATCTGGTGGCCAAGGGGAACAGCAGGCTATGGGAGAATCCCTGTTCCCCTGAGTACTACCGGGAGTAATGAGGGATAAGGGCCATAAGTTGACTGAGAGTAAATTCAGACTAGACATCAGGAGGCACTACTTCACAGTCAGGGCAGCTAGGATCTGGAACCAACTTCCAAGGGAAGTGGTGCTCGCTCCTACCCTGGGGGTCTTGAAAAGGAAGCTAGATAATCACCTAGCCGGGGTCGTTTGACCCCAGCATTCTTTCCTGCCCATGGCAGGGGGTTGGACTTGATAATCTACTCAGGTCCCTTCGGACCCTACCAACTCTGAAACTCTGAAACTATAAAAAGCAGTGGATAATTATGAAGGCACTCAAACACTAGGGAAATATAGGCCACATCCAGACCATGGCACTATTGTCTCTTTTTTTGAGAGGCAGGGTCCACATGGATAAAAGGTGTTAGGATATGAGGGAAGCTCTCAGTGAATTCCTCTCATGGGAGGGTTCATGAGTAATTCTATAATGTTCTTACGGTTTCATGAAGATTTGGTAGAAAAGGTAATAGGGGCTTGGGTTCTTTGATAGCAGATTATGAAACCTTAAAGTATACCCCACCCTCTTACATACTCTCCCCTGAGTTTTGCTATGGAAAAAGATAACCCAGAACTTATGACCCACTGTACTGATCAATTTATACTTGTCTGTATGGATGAGACAGGATATGGGCCAGTGAATAGTGCCCTGAACAGGAAGCCAGCAAAATTCAATTCTCAACTCATCTGTTGTGTGACCATCCCTCCATGCCTTAATTCTTCCATTGATAACTTTTGTAAAGAGCTGCTAAGACTTATCAGTAACGAACTACTACTATTATTACTTGGAGAATTAAATTATTCTCCTGTGATACAAAACTATCATAACTGCTTCATAACTGCTTCAATTCCACAAGTTTCCTGAAGCCCCCTTACAGGGGATATGTTGGGACCTGGATATGACATGGGCAGAATAGTTCCACACTCTGATAATTCCCAACCAGCCTCTCAGGGGCCTAAGGCCTTGTCTACATTACAGAGTTCTGTTGGCAAAGCTATGTCAGCTACAGGTTGAGGAAAGAGCACACCCTGTAGCCAGTGTCATTGTGCTGCCAACCCCACTGATACAGACACAGCTCTGCTGGTAGAAGTAGGCTTCTGCCTAAAAAGTTTCTACTGTTTGGGGAACTCGGTGTAACTAACATCAAAAACTTCTGCCAGTAGAGCTGTATCTACCCAATGATTACTGCAGTTAGTGTGGAGTAAGCCTTAACTAATTGGAGGATAAATTTAAACACTCTAAAAGCTGCTCTAATCTACACAGAGCCACAAATACCCTCAGTATTACTGAGGACGTTACAACAGCCTCTTTGCATGTGATGATACAGATGAGAGTACAGACCCATGAGAGAAGGCCTTTACTGCCATCCACACATAGTCCCTACTCAAATACACTGTTCAAACAGGTTATTCAAACACTGTGAGAAGACTCCTGAATATTTAAAAGATAAATGTAGGTATCACTGGCTTGACTATATTCTGGAGAGTTATTGAGTAGATGATTTACCAGCATTTTGGTGTTCCTTTTCTAACAGGAAAATACATCTGTACGTTCCAAAATTTTCTATTTCTGGGACCTATGATGTAAAAGAGATATTCAGGCAAATGGGCGTGATTGATGTATTCACTGACCAAGCTGACCTGTCAGGAATTACAGAGGAAAGTGGACTGAAGGTTTCCAAAGTAAGTTGGTAAACAGAGCTGGTGATCAGTGGATCCATCTGTTCTTTGGGATTTTACATTTTTGTTTCATAATATTAAAGGATTTGACCCAGCTTTCACTGAAGTTACTGGCAATTTTTTCCCTGGCATTAGCAGAACTGGGTTCAAAGCAGGTCTGTCTTTTCCTAAAACTGAGGACTAGTGTGTTTGGAAAGTGTAACACACACACGGAGAACAGAGGACATCAGGAAAAGACAGAAGACAAAATAAACTTTTTTTCTGGCAACTAAAAATTGTCCAAAGGTATGAGTTAACTTTAGTAAAATATTTTCCAGTTCCCTTTAAATAATGCACTAAGTTGCAGAGGGGAAAAACGAAATTGGAAGCTAAACAAACTATTTTTTCTGCCAGTTTCTTGTCACTGATCCAGCTTCAATAATACTCAGTTTTCTGTTATAAGCTAATTATCCTTTTTGGTAAATTATTAAATATTAGTAGTTATAAGGTTATTCTATACTGGATTTATAAATCAAAGAGGTAGCCAGTGTCTGTCTTGAAGCTAAGCTTTTCAGAATAGTTATACCTCACCCTAGAAGTTTACAAACAGTTTCTATGCTTTTAAAATTTCTCCAAAAAATTGAATAGCATTGTTAAATGAAAGCAATTGTTCTAACTGGTATTTAGGTCAGGCCGTGTTTCCTTCTTTCCCAGACTGGAGGAAGGGCATCTTTCTGGACCATAAAAGATATTATCTTACCTCACAAATCTCAGCTTCTCTGAACTCAGCGGGTATGAGTGTGGAAGTGGTTCCACTGTGCTGTGACACTTCTTTCCCCTACCCACTTCTTATCAGCTACTTTTCTAAAGACAGTTTCTTTAAAATAAGCAAGTTTCTCTCTTGATATTTGCTGCTGTTTCTTTAGTTAGAATAACTTTTTGCTTCATCTCTTGCAGGTGGTTCACAAGGCCCTGTTGAATGTTCATGAGAATGGCACTGAGGCTGTAGGTGTCACTGTCACAGAATTTACATGGAGATCTGGTTCTGTTTTTACTCCCAGAATTAAATTCAACAGGCCCTTCCTGATAATGATTGTTGAAAAGCATACCCTTAGCATCCTCTTCATGGGGAAGATAGTAAATCCTTGTGGAAAATAAGTGACCAGCTGTTGGATGTGTCGTAGCACTTTGGGCGTAGTGCTGGCTAAATTCCCATGATTCAGCAAAGTACATGCTGCACATATGCATCACTAGATGCTAGTGATACTATTTAAAGCAGTACTAATATGCATTCCTAAATCCATAACACAGGAATATAATATGTCCTGTCTCATAAGCACTTGTGCACAGCTTACAATATAACAAACCACAAGTAATTTAAATAAACAAGTCTGATTTCACCTTTTTCCTTTTTTGTAAAAGACCCTTTCAGAAAGTTTCCTCAGGGGTTTTAAGATACCAAGTCACTCAGATGAATTGTGTTGGGGTCCAGATTGTTTCTTATCCACTTCGTTAACACAATCATATGGTTATTGATGACTGTTTCAATCCTGGAACGATCCTTCTGCCCCTTGATATTGCAAGCAATTCTGATGCTTTTGTTTTGCTTCTACTCAAAGAACAACTCCAGGTCTGAAACTGCAAGTTTACCTACAGGATTGTTCTTAGTCTAGACCAGAAAAGTCTAGCTGGCCTAGCTGTACTGACAAAACAACTTTTTTGCCTGTATAAGCTGTGTCCACTCACAGAGGAGACGACAACAGTTCCTTTAAGAACATCAAGTCTGCTAGCAAAAGGAATTTTTATTGGTGTAACTGTCTCCACCAGATCCTGTTGCTGGTATAAATAAATTGTGAAGAGAGTTGTACCCCTATTTTTCCAGCACATTTTCTAGCACTATTTTCCTAATACTGTTGTTTTTCTTATTAGTAGTCTGCTTCCATTATCACACATCTAAGCAAACTTTCTATGTTTTCATATAAAACAGAGAAGGAAATGGGATGAATTATAACCCCAAAATACCTACTCTTCTTCACTGTGAACCAGTGAAATCCTGAAGGGACTTCTAAAAAATTTTTAAATCAACAAAATGAACATAGACATACTGACAAAATGTGGGTACAGTTTAAGAAAATGCCTTTTTAAATGTCAATATGGATTATTTGAGAGGCAGGGACTTTCGGAGGGGATATCTTTTGTTGGACCAACTGGATAGCTGGGAAATAGTTAAATAAGCTTTCAAATGCAAAACATTCTTCTTCACTATTCAAAAGCTTGTCTTACTTTATCCTAACTATACAGTTGGTCCAATAAAAGATATCACCCTAACAAATCCTTGCCTTTTGCATAATTCCTGAACAGCTGCATCACTCTTACACTACCATAATATGGATTATTGCTATTCTTATTGAATAAAGAAATATTACAACCTGAAATATTTAGTCTGGAAACAGAGTTTAATGAGCAATGTTTTGTGTTGCATTGTTTTTCAATGGGTGTTTCTACACATGCTCATTTACTGCACAGTAACTGAAATTACTGCACAGTACAGGTGCATGTCTACATGTGCACACCCATACGGTGCAGTAAATATGGCAATTTACGTCATCTTGAATGTAAATTCAGTACCTGAATCATGCAGGTATCAAACTTATGCCTGATTAGTTACTGTGCAGTAATGCACATGTAACGCCTTACTGAGCGGTAGGGCTGTGCGAAACAGCACTGTTTCGTTTCGACCTCCGTTTCAACGTTTCAGTGGGACAGTGTTTCATTTCAAGTTTTGTTTAGTTTCAAAACCACTGTTCCATTCCGTTTCACTGAAACTGTTTCACCGTTTCAATGTTTTGCCCATAGGCTATAATGGGGAACCATGAAACTGCCTCTAACTTTGTCATTTCTTGCCTGATTCAGATGGAACTTGCAGAGACAGTAGCTCCTTCTGAGGCCACGAAGCCTGCCAAGTTTCAAGGACATAGATTTAGGGGGTTCTGGGAAACTGCACCTCAAATTTTTGAAAGCAATACTTGTGTCGTGTGTGTAAGGCACATCAGGGTGAAAACTGAAAGCATGGTAGCCCCTGCTGAGGCCACAAAGCCTGACAAGTTTCAAGGAGATAGGTGCAGGGGTTTCTGAGAAACTGCACCTCAGGCTGCTGACAAGCAAAACTTGTGACGTGAGTGACAAAAAGCAGGCCAGTTCAAACAATGCTGCCTTTTATGCTGCTTTTCCATCCCTCTTCCAGAGCACTGGGATTGGAAGGGACCTCAGGGAAGAACCACAGTCACTGGCCAGCTACACAGTCAGTATGAGAGCAGCCCTTTCCTCCTCTTCCCCCTCCCTCCCCTTACTTTCTGTTTCACTGCAGGCAAGCCCTGCTTGAGTTCTGAAACTTTCAAAACGTTTTGACTGCCCTTGTTTCATTTCAAGGCTGTTTTGAACCCTTTCGTTTTGTTTCGATTTCACTGTTTTGAGCTCAAAACGAGTCAAGACAATGTCAAAACCAAACAGCCGGTGAAATTTTGCACAGCCCTACTGTGCAGTAACACTGTGTGTAACACTGACTTGAGACTAAAGTTAGTCTGACTGGCTTGGGACTAATGTGCTTTAATGTCTGTACATGTAGCTGTGGGCCTATTCCCACTTACTGCCCAGTAATTTACTACGCAGTAAATTTAAGTCGACATAAATGCACGTGTAGACATACCCAATGTGTTGCAAAGTTAAGATTTGAAGAAATTTGCTATTGTTTGAGATTATGAAAACAAGAATGGAGTAAATGCAACTCATTATATAGCCAAACTATTGTATAACCTTGATTTTTCTTTCTGATATTTGTTTTTTAGTTTAACACAGTTTTAAATAACAAAACAAAAAATCCTGAAAGGGACTTAATTTAATGGAAAATTGAACACATTTTTTATATTTCAAAATGGTTAAAATTGGTTGGGAAAAAGTAACAATGCAAAGCTGTCATTTTCTAAATTTGTAAAAAATATGTTTAAAATGCAAAACGTTCAGTTCTATAGCTGGTAAATGAAAGGATACATTCTTTAAAATCTTATTGACATTTTTAATGGAGTGTTAATAGATATTACAATTTCTATTGTCTGACTCAGTAAGAACAATGGTCTCCACAAGGGGTGCGTGAAGCAGGCAGTATTTGATTCCCACAGGAGCATGGGGTGTTCCCCCGCATGCTCAGCAGTGGACCCAGAAGAGGACCAGAAGTACTTCCACTTCCAGGTCTGCCGCAGAGCACATGGGGGGACCTCCCTGGCCCCCAGTTCAGTGACTGGTACCTCCTGGGTCCACTTCTGGGTCCACTACTGAGTGCATGAGGGACCCTCCCCCCACGTCTCCCCAGCTCAGTGATCAGCTCTGGGTGGGAACCTGGGTGCACCCCCCAGACCCAGAAGGTACCAGTCACTGAGCCGGGGAGTGGGGAGGCCCCCCACATGCTCTGCAGCAGATCTGGAAGTGGACCAGAAGTACTTCTGGTCCATTTCTGGTTCCTCTGCCAAGTGTGTAGGAGACCCTTCCCCCCTGCACTCCTGTGGGATGCTCTGTCGACCCCACCATCTCAGTGTTCACGAGCTGTACCTGGTACCTTAAGGTACATAGAGAAAGCATATAAAGCTGTCTATGGCCAACTTGTCAAATGTCTCCGAATCTCTCCAAATCGATTCAGAGGCTTTTGATTCAAGGGGTCTCCTGATTTGATTTGGATTTGGGGATTTGGCCACCAAATCAGGCCACATCTCCTTCTAATCAAATCAGTGACTGAAGCTTGGCACACCCCTAGTCTCTACCCTGTGAATCTCCAGTGAATCAAATAACCTTTCTTTCTGTAACACTGTAGACATTTGCAGGTTTATTAAGTTAGAGGTAAAAATGAAGTGTGTCACAACCCAATGATTTTAGTGCCTCGGCACGATGGAATTTTCCCGCCACATGAGAG